AATCCCATGGAAAGTCACTATCCCCCAAGTAGCAGACATCTTTTGGAGTCATTGCAAGGTGGATGTGTCTACAATAGAAAAATTTCCAAGTTCCTCTTCATATTATCTGCATTGTCTGGCTGAGATACTTAGCAGTCCTCATAAAAGGTAAATAAAAAGGAAAAATAACCCTTTTCCTAGAACAGCCTGCTGTCCTAGAGAAAGAGAAACCTTAACATTTGTCCTCTCTGGTTCTGAAAAGTGTCTTCATGTTGTGTCATAGGTTAAAAGACAAGTATAGGTGATTCTAGAATAAAGGTGCAGGAAAGCAGTCTAAAGTAGGAGTGAAGCTTCTGATTCTGGAGAGTAAAATTAAATATTATGTCATTAGGGCTGCAGAGTGAGAAGGAAAGAACCTAGATAATGTATGTCAGTGCTTTATTCAGGATTGGAAATCTTCCTTCTCCAAGATAACGAGGTACACACCAGGCATCTATCAAATTGAGGATTGCCTTTTATCATTTAGAAGGGCTGTGTTTGCAAATGTAAAGTCAGTACCTAAGTTCAGGGAAAAAGCAGTTGAGAGGGAAGGATTTTGTCTTTTCTTTAGATCTAATGAACCCTCTGCTCAGGAAGCCACTAGATTGCCAATTTGTAATCTTGAATTTAAATTATCAGAAAACTTTAGTCTGTCTAAAGAGATGACCAAAAGGCATCTGAGCAAAAATCAAGTATGTTTGATTATATAACTTAACAAGAACTATTTTCTTTGTACAACTGATTTACCAAGGAGCTAGCAACTGTTTTTCAAGATAGTTGCAAGGTTAGCATTTATTACTTTGTTATGAACCCTAAAACCTTGCAATGAAGTGACAGATCAACATAGCATGACCAATATCACAACAGTGATGTGAGTTATAACAGATTGTATCCAAAATGCATGTTATGCCTTCCTTAGGTTTTAGAGGTGCAACCTCTGCAATAAAGACTGAAATTTGAAATTTTTCTCCTTGGGAAGTCTAAAGTTGTCTTCTCTCTTGTTTATTCTTAAATGGTGTCTTGCTTCATTCTCTAATATATTTTAATTTTTTTTTGCTGTAGGAAACTCTCTATATTAGATATCCACACAGAACTGAACGGAAAAGTCTATGAATGGAATAAGACCACTGACCCAAGCCAACAATATTCACTTCTGCTTCAGCACACACTGAGAAAGAAGCTTTTTCTTTCTCCCACTTAACTGCTGTTGGAAAGAACACGTCTGAAGTGACTAACAGGAAACACTATGATCCAGACAGTTTTACACATATTTTTACTTTATGCGTTGTTACTGCATGTATACCTAAGTGCCTATTGCTTCCAAACGCAGGGATTAGAAGCATTTTGGTGTGTTAAGGCACTAGATTTTATATCTTTAGACAGGCTTTGAAAGCTTGGATGAGAATGGCATCTATCATACAGCACTGCAGCAGATCTTGCAACCAAATTCAACAATGCAAGGAGCTTTAAGCTGTATAGCCCTTGGGTTTTCCAGGGTTTTGTGTTTTTATTGTTTCATTAGTTGTTTTTTTAGCATATCTATTAGCAGTGCAGTGATACAGGTTCTTCTGTTGATGCTTAAACTAAATACAAGACAGTGCAAACCACTGAAATTCACTGAGTACTTTCCCCAGCATCTAATCATGCAAAATGTGTCAGGAAAGAATGCCTACTGAGAAACACCAGTCCTTTATTAACGCTTGTGTGCCTCCACAGACTAGCAAAACAGAAGGAGAAAGATGGTCTTTTAAATAATACGGATTCCGTCTGCCTGCTGCATTAGAGGTTGTGATTCACCCAGAACCCTGTGTCATTAGTGTTGTCCACAGCGTACAATTGCTATATGTTAATAACTGAGACAATCTGTCATGTTTTGGTCTGTTTTCCTCTGATGCAAAAATGAGTCTACACATGTCAGGGCTTGGCAGGCAGGGGTGCCAGGAGGTCTATGTGGATGAGCAAGGAGCTCCTGGACACAATTAAATGTAAAAAAAAAAAAAAAGGTTTACAGAGAGTGAAAGCAGTGATAGGTATCCTGGGAGAAGTATACACAAGTTGTTAGAGAAGCAGGGGATTGGGTAAGGAAAGCCAAAGCACAGAGAGAGTTGGATCTGGTGAGGGATGTTAAGAAGAATAAGAAAAGTTTCTACAGGTATGTCAGTGGTAAGAGGAAGACTAGGGAAAATGTGGGCCCACTCCAGAAGGAAACTGGAGACCTGGTTATGCAAGGCATAAGAGAAGGCTGAGGTACTCAATGACTATTTTGCCTTAGTCTTCACCGGCAAGGACTTTGGCTGCACCATCTAGGTTGCAGAAGGCAAAGGCAGAGACTAGGAAAAAGATCTCCTCACTGCAGGAGAAGAACAAATTCCAGGCCACCTGAAGGTGCACAAGTCCATGTGACCTGATGGGATTCATCCATGGCTCCTGAAGGAACTGGCTGATGAAGTTGCTTGTAGTGAGAGGACAAGGAGTAATGGATTAAAAATGGAAGAGGGGAGATTTAGATTAGACATTACAAAGAAATTCTTTACGATGGGGGTGGTGAGACACTAGAAAAGGTTGCCCAGTATAGTTGTGGAAGCTCTCTCCCTGGAAGTACTAAAGGGCAGGTTACATGGAGCTCTGAGCATCCTGATCTAGTGGGAGTTGTAGCTGCCAATTCAGGGGTGTTGTATCTAGATGATCTTTGAAGTCCCTTCCATCCCCGGCCATTCTGTGATTGTGCGATTTTACAGTAACTAGAACACAGTTTAAAAATGTGGGATTTTAGATGTTTCGTGGAAGCTGAAATGTAATTCACACTTGTTGCACCAGGCATATTGGTGAAAGTGCCCTTTATTATATTTGAACCTAAGTGTCATACCACTGGCTCTTAATATTGGATGAAATTAAAAATCCCACCCTCACTGCTTTTATTTATGAAAAATAGTATGTTGTACATTAGTATATTTATAATAATTAGGAGGGCTTGGCCAGTAAACTTAATGCTGGTAGCAGTGAATTTCTTTATTCTTCAGTGTAAAGTTGTACTTCTTAAGTTTTGGCTTGTCATAATTTTTTATTTTATTTTATTTTTCTTTAAAGCCAGGCTTCTTAAGTTTCATTCAGAAAAAAACCAGATGCATTTTCAAGGAGGTTCTATAATTGAAAGTAAAACTTGCTTATTTTTCAAAGAGTAGATACTGAAGTCTTAACAGAGTCCGTGTTAAGTGATGTAGATACAATCTTTATCTGGCTTAAGAAGTTTCTAAGCTGGTGATTGATGAAGATTGTTAGGAGTATACAAAGAGAAGAAACACCCTGAGCAAGCTTTACCTTACAGTCTTTAACTATCCACGTTAAATGTTAGATGAAAAAATATATTTATTTATATTAGTGTACCATTTTGTATCATATATAAAGTATATTTTCTATCACTGTGATTAAATCTTCACACATGATCTTTTTAAAAATTTTTGTGTTTGTTTTATTTGCATGTTAACTCCAGAAGGCTACATACATGGTTGTGATGAGAAGAGAATTTTGCACAGTTTAGAAAAAATAATTAACCTGTTTTGCAAGCCTACGTATTCCATGCTTTTTTCTCTTTCCACTTCATAAGCTGTCATGTCCGCTTTACCAAAAGTATGTGGAAACTTTAATAGCTTTGCATTGGGAAATACATCCCAAAATGTTATGTTAAACTATTGCTATGTATGTTATTTATGTCACTGTAATTTTATGCACAGGTATGAGAGGGAAAATAGAACTTACTACTTTTTTTGTTGTTTTCTTTCAAAATTCAGAAATTCTCTAGAAGCTTGTTCTCTATAAGCGTTAAAGTAAAAAATACTAAAATTTATTATGTTATAGGTTTGAAAATAAAAATATTACAACAGGCAGGAAGAGGGGGAAGGCCTTCCTTTCAGTTTACTTTTTTTCTAAGAAAGGGGTATTGATCTGGTCCTTTTCTTAAACTAGTGCCATATTCCTTCTGGCCTTAAAAATACTTTGTCTTAAAATTACATTCATGTGTACTCCATATGCTGAAGTGGAAAAGTTACTGCACTGCATTACGTTTTATATGTGATAGGTAATAAACATAGCATTAATTTCTAACCCCAGATGTTTAATAACTGAGTATCTTATGATAAAATAAAGCACAAATGTAATTTTGAAACTCCAGCTTGCTCACGTTTCATGGGATAAGAGGATTATAAAATGGTAATTTAGAATCTTAGAAGCTACTTCCTGTACTGGCTGGCAAATGAAACAAATAGGTTTTCTGTGGTTGCAGAATTAAGATGCGATGCCTAGTTATTATATATGTATGTGATGTTAATACATGTGATTTCTTTCACAAATTAACCTCACTATTTTTTCATTTCCCTTACTAGCTTTTGCATATGATCAGCACTTCTGCTGCCTTATAGACAATCAGGATCAGGGAGAGGAACCAAGAGGAGGCAGAGAGATGAGAGAAAGTAATATTGAAATTTCAAGCAGGAACAAGAAATGGTAGGGAGAACCAAAAGATGAACAAGTAGGGAAAAGACTTGGAGGAGAAATGCAGCATCAATATGGGGAGGAGAAAGAAGAAAACAGGAGAAAAGGGAGAAAGGATGTAAGAGTAACAGTGGCTATCCTTACAAATCTAATCATGTGATGGGTTTTTGTGAATTGGTGCAGTGATGCTAACAAACCGTTATTTACTTAAAATACTAGCAGTAGAATATATTCTATTTCTGATATTTTTATGACAGTGGAGGTTTGGTTTGGGGGTTATGAAGTGTACATGTTCTTCACCTTAGTGTGTGAAACAGTAAATAAAGTCCATGTCCCCTTTCTTAAGATATGATGGAGAAATTGTGTTAGAAAACTGTAGAGGCTCCTGTAAATAACCCTTGCAGTGAAAAAGGAAGGGAGTCTCTGGCTGCTTGGGTCAGAAGTGATCACAGCTCTTTTAACATCCAAGTTGTGGGACATGTCATATATTGTGCAGTATTTGTGGATTTTCTGTTTGTTTATTTTTTTACACTGATGTTTTGACCCTGAGTAGATGTCTAAACCATAGCAGTACTCATTCTGAAATCATTAATCTTAAGCAGTATTTTTTGCCTTGACACCTCTTGAAAGAGTGGTGTGTGGGTTGCAACAGGTTGTACATGTATTACAGTTAGTGTTTGAATGATATCAGACTTGCATTCAGTAGCCAAAAGAAAAGGGAAAAGAATTCATTCTGGATCATGAGTTTGGGGTATTAGTACCAGAACCTAAAAAGTTACATGATGGTGAAATTTCATAGCCTTGGACTGCCAAAACACCTAGTTTTCAGAACCTGATGTGTAACTAGATAAAACAAGTCACTCCTCCTCTGCTCCTGCATTGTTGTCAGTGTTTGAAAAAGGCTGTCAGACTCCCCACTCCAGGGCAGTGAATTTCAGTTTTGCTTTCTGATAACTGAATCAGGAGTTTTTTCTATGTCTTTATGTGCAGTGTATATGGAAGGGGGAAAAGATAATACAGATAATGCCTTTCACTGGCTCAGATGATGTATCAGTGAGGCAGGAGATGCTGTAGTGTTTTGCACCAGACTTGTGTGATTTTTTCTCAGCCACCTACATGTGACTGAGCCATAAATCCAGTTTACTTGTACTGTTAGTGTCACCGTTTGACTCAGGTCCGACAACAATGCTCTCGATCCCCCCTCCCCTCAACCCAGGTAGGGAAGGAGAGAGAGAAAAAGAGAGAGATTTGGCTGGATTGAAAACTAAACTACACAGCTTTAATTAAAACACTAATGAATGATACAAGAAAATATATACAATTATATACAGATATGTTCAGGTATGGGCAAAAACCTCTCGCCTCCCCCCACCCCAGCAACTCCCACAGCACTTCCCTGAACTGGGAAGAGTCCCGAGGAATCCCGGAGCTGCTACTGTAGAAAGCAGAGAGTTATGGGGGTCACGAGAGATCAATCCTGAGGATCGATGGTGATGGATGAACAGAGTCCTCCCTGGACACCGGCCATGGATGGAAGAGAAGGGGAGAAGAAGAAGGAAGGAAGAAGTTGTCTTCTGTGATCTCTGACCTTCCTCTGAGCTTACGTAGATATATGGAATGGAATATCTTTGGCCAATTTTGCTGTCCGTCTAA